CACTTCTGGATAGACTGGGATCACATGTAACTCTGCCAGGGTGCAGCCAGGGGAGGGATGGCAGTTAGCAGAAGCAGTCTTAGTTTCCCCATTTGCACACTGAGGCAAGGCTACCTGCTACAGGGCAGGACCTGGCAGCCACCAACTTATCATCACCTTCAACTAGGGATGAGTTAAATATTGTACATAGACCATGAGAGGGGAGCATTCATTGCCTGGGACTTCAGGATGTGATGTCCCGATGAAGAGCTTGACATTCTCTGCAGAAAGCCTGCTCTAAGCACAGCAGGGCTCCTGACAGCCCTCCTAACCTCCCCACTATCCTAAAGCACAGCGGGGTGGGAGAAGTGCCATAGACAGTACAGCTTACCAAGCATGCACAGAGAGGTGGGTTCAATCCCCAGCACTGCATAAAGTGGGTGGAGACGCACATGTATGAATTGCAGCATGCCTCAGGAGACAGATGCAGAAGTTCAAAGTCATCCTCAGCTACACAGTGAGCTGGACCAGTCTTTGTTACGTGAGACCCTGTATTATTTAGTAAACAGATGGATAAGTGGGAAAGCGAAACCCATCATTTCTAAATTTGCTTGGTGGCTTTATGACCTTGCATTCTGAAACACACAAGCAGTGGCTAGGGAGGGTGCTTGGAGCATGCCTTGAGGAGAGCAGGCGGATCACATAGCCAGCCAACTGCATCCCCACCACCCATGCTAAGCACACAGTAGGTGCTCTGTATTACTGTTCTCATTAGTGCTATCTACTATCCCTAATCTAAAAGTCCAAACCCCTGAAACCTTCTGATTGTTTGTTTTGAGACAGGGTGCGACTACATAACGCAAGCTGGCTTTGTTAGAGACTCAGCCCAGCCTTCTGAGGGCTAGGGCTGACACATGACTGTTACCCTCCTGCAAAATCTAAAAGCTATTGAGCACCAACAAAACTTCTCACAGTTTCCAATTTTGGAGCATCTGAAATTCCAGAGTTAAAATTGCTCAACAGGTGAAATTGAAAAACACAAAAAACAAAAACAACTTAATGGTCAAAACCTCCAACATTTCAGGCCCCAAGCATTCTGGAATTCCACTCTTATGGAAGGCCCTTTGTAGGACATGCAATGCCAACCCTGCAGACACAAGAAGTGAATCTAGACTTGGGTACTGGGGGCTATGGTGAGAGTATGATCTAGAGAGAAGCAATGCAGGGCACATGTCTGCCAAGGTCCTTCTCAGGCTCTCCAGTGCCACCAGGTCAAACTACAGCATCGCTCCCACAGGCAACAACTCTGCAGCCTGCCCCCTTCTTGGGTGCCAGCCAGGCTGCTGCACACCAACCAGTCAAACATACAGGAGGCTGGAGGCAAACAGCAAGGCCTCAAGGCAAGCACAGGAGGCACAGGAGCCTGCAGTGGTGTACTGGACAGCCTTGGGGGAGTTCTGTTCTCTCTCTGAGCTCTGATCTACACAAAAGGATCTTCAATGCCTTGGTCCTTGGAGGTTAATGGAGCGTGCTCAGAACTGAAACAGGGGTTTCCCTGGTCTGCTCTCCCTCTTGCGGCACCCACCATGTGCACCACGCTGCTCTGGGGGCCTGTCCTGCAATGCTCTTTATTCTAAAGCAAACACAGCAGCATGGCTCACAAGAACACTGCATGCTGAGAGTGACACAGGGGATGGTGGCACACGCCTATAATTCTCATTCTTTTCCAAGGGATAGCCACTGGGGAGCGGTGCAAGGCCCCATCGCACTGGCTCTTCTTATCCAACGCTAACAACTCGGACTACTCTCCCATTTGGCCACCACACATTTGTCCCTCTTGCCTCTGGCCACTCACTGTCCTCACACCCCAAGGGTCTCTTGGGATGGGCGACATGTCTGAGGACAGCTCTGGAGGGGCAGGTCATGGTGCTGTCAAAGGTCCTCCACCATTGAGCCCCAACTCCAAGGAATCACTTGGAGCCAAATTGTGTTTGAAGAGGGTCAGGCTTCAGACGGCTGATAGGCAATGGAAAGGCCAGGTCTTTCCACAGTGCTCGTCAATCCCACGGTCTAGTACACACTGCTTCAACACCTACTTCGTGCCAGGCCCCGCTTCAGACCAGAGCCACATTGGTGAACTGCCGGTGAGAAGCAATACACACGGAGGGGACAGGACACACAGGATTCACAGCACTTACCAAATGTTCCCACACCCTTGCAAGAATACACCATGCACTCGGCAAAAGCCATCCAGCAGACAGGTAGTCTTATGTCCCTGACTCACAACTCACCTATACAAGGACCTTGTTCTTGTGCCCTGTGTGACAGGTGCCCCAAGGAGTTGCTGGGCAGGAGCAAAGGATGGGATGGCAGCGTGGGAGTCCCACTCCGAGGACCTGGTCTGCACCTCAACAGCCCCACACAGATCTGCATACCATACAGAGGGACCTAGAGGGACCCAAAAAGGACACAGCAGCCGCAGCTGGCTTGCTTCCTGCTGTACAGACAATCTAAGCACCCGGCCCTCCCTCAGCCTCAGGTCTGTCGGCACCAACCTTGAACTGCCTGGCTCTGCCATCCTCAACAAGCTGGCGAGTCCCCCCATTTGCCAGATGTGGAGATTTAGGCTGACGGAGGTGTTTGGGCAAGCTGCTGGCGGGTCAGTTACCTCCAAGACCCCTGTTAGCTATGGCTTCTGGATCTAGCCGCAACAGGTGGCCTAGTCCACCTACTGGACTGGTCACTCTGGCTTTCAGACTTTCTAAGAACACAAAGTCGTGGATACCCAGCAAATGACACAGCGTTCCCGAGGGAGGAGGCAGCCTGTGGGCTAGGCTTCTGGGTGCCAGCGGAAGGCTGCCCTGTGTCTGCTCATGTCTAGTCATGCGGCACTGAGAACCAGCCAGGCACAGCGCAAGTCTGCCCACCATGCTGCATAACTGACACATAACTGATGGTGTGTGGGGGAGGGAAAGAAACTGGTGGGACCCCTGGGACCTCAGCTCAGCTTTGCCGCATGGTGCAGCCTCAGTTTCCTCCTCTGCACGGTGAACCACCCAGGGTCAGTTAACAAACATTAGGTCCTTTGGGCTAGCATGGCAATACCTCCCTCTACTTAAAATAGCTGTATAGCAATGTCAAATGACCAGTGCTATACCCCAACTCAACAGATGGGGAAACTGAGGCACCCAGAATACACTGCCTGATGGACTCAGGGAAATTTCGGGGATAGGGAGGGGAGTTCAACCCATAATGCCAGCATTCCAGAATTCTGACCATGTAGCTGTGAGACCCTGGGAAAGCTGCTGCATCCTCCCTCCTTCCTTCCTCTTAAGACAGGGAAACTGTAGCTCAGGCTGGTCTGGAACCCAGGAACTCACAATCGTCCTTCCTTGGCCTCCTGAGTGCTGCAGTGCAAGTGAAGGCACCATGTCTGGATAGGGCCCACCTTGTGTCTCTGGCATATCCCAACCATGAGCCTGACTCCAGGGCACTGAGCCCACGCATGGACGGTGTAAGACCTACAGATGAAAGGGCCATCTGATGCCTCCCAGGTCCCTCATGTACTCAACTCTCTGAGAGTGGAGTGGCGGGCAGCCTGAGGCTCCTCTGGTGGACCAACTTGTGGCTGAGCACCCCTCAGGCCTTGCTGTCCTCCTGCCTCAGTCTCTGGCGCATTAGGGATTACAGGCTTGCACCTCTAGGCCTGGCACAGCAATGACTCTGAAGCTCAAAACTCCCATTGCCACCTCTTACTAATCAAACAATGCTCCATAGGAAAGAAGAGATTAGTGATGCGTCACACAAGTGATGTGCGTCCAAGATATACAGAGAGCTCAGTGAAAGCAGCCAGGCAGTGAGGCAACCTGGCAGACAAACAGGTTAAAGAGACAAAGGTTCCCGAAACCATCAGCTAATAAGCACAAGAACCCAGGACTCAGTATTTCCCATTAGGGAAATGGGCTAAGGGCACCGTGGGATCTTGAGGACAAGGATGGGAACAGCAAGTGTTGGTAAGGTCATGGCACAGACAGAGCTCTCTGGCTCCAAGGTATATGGGTGAATAACACCTGGCCATCTGGTCATGCCACCCATACCCTGGCGCCTGGCGCCAACCCCCGATTCACACCCTATAAACCAGCAGTGGGCCAATGGCCTGTGGGCAAGCTGCAGTATTACAGAGCTACATGCCGAATGTAGTGATTCTCTGCCATCTAGAATGTCCCTGGTAAAGGAAGCACTGAGTTTTCCCAGCAGGCTCTGCTGGGGACAACCTGCCGCCAACAGGATGAACAAACAAATGAACACAGATCAATAAACACAGACCAACTGGTCAGGAGGAAAGATACCAGACGGCCACGTGACTAGACCAGCCATGACAGTGGACTTTACAGAACAGAAAATCAACACGAGAAAGTCAGAAATGCCAGGCATCCTCAGTCCTCAGGGGTCATAGGCTGCTGGGGCTGAGGCACGGTACTGCTGGCTGGGCCCCTGTCACTGGCACCCTTCTCCCCTGGCCACCACTGAGGAGCACACAGGCTGTCGTTCACTTTCAGCCACAGTCTGTGCCAGGCTCCAGGAACACAGCGGTAACACATGTGGGGCTTCTCGTCCTGCCGCCCAAACCTCAGCGCCTGGCACTGACCCCAGACTCACACTCCATAAAAGGGCCAACAACCTGTGGGCGAGCTGTCTGCCTATCCCCGCAGCCACCCCAGGATGGAGGGACATTTCCTGATGACACTACCCTCCGGTGTCTGGCACCAGAGTGTCCACTACCGGGCTGGCCCCCTCCTCTCAGGCTCTGGTAAGGTATGGAATCCGCCCATAGCTTCATCCCCCCCGGGAGGAGGAGCTTTCCTCTCAGTATCCAATCTACCGGGTCACCAAGTCCACCCACTTCACCATCAACACAGCCCGGAATCTGCTGCCATCACCCACAGCATAGGGTGCTGGTGTATCGCACCCACTTCTTACCACCCACTGTGTCCCAGGCCATTTCGGGGTGCCTTGCTGACCTCTGATTCGGCCCTGTCTGTTCAGCTGGTTTTCCAGAAGCGGCTAGGGTTATCATGCACTCCTCCCTCAGCAAATGCCAAAGGCCTGTCCGGTCACAGTGCTCCGTCTCCAGTCCACAGAGGTGCCTCAGGATGGACACATGACCTGCAGGGTCAACGGAAACAGACTGGAAATTTCCACAGATCTTCTAGAGGGCGAAGCTAAGTAAGGTTACAGGCCTAACCGTGTAGAGACCCCTGCAGGCAGCTGTTGGGGTACACCGTGTAAGGGTGAGTCTCCGTATATTAAGCTGTTAATTCTGTACCGGCAGAGAGCTATGGCCTATCACCAGGTCTCATATTTTAGATTATTTGTTCCTTCCTGATCTGCCTAAGGCAATCTAGAATTGTATCTGATTGGCTTTAATAAAGAGCTGACAGCCAATAGCTGGGCATGAAGTGGAAACCAGGACAGAGAGAACCCTGAGAGGAAGAGGCAGACCCCGGAGATTTACCAGTGGGACCCGAAGGTAGACATATCTGAACAGGACAGAGAGGTAAAGAACTAGCCACATGGCAGGCTGTGGGCTGGGAGAGTCGGGATCATTTGGACAAGCTAGTTGAGAGTACCGGCCAGCTATAGGCCTAAGCTTTTGAGTATTAGTCTCTGTGTCTTTAAATCTGGCAGGTCCCAAAGTCCCACTGTAAGCAGCAGGCACAGAGCCAGGGAGATGTCGACCCAGGAGACAGGGCGACAAGGGTAGCAGTGTGGAGCTATGTGGGGCAGTGAGGTCCGGCTCCTGGATCCAGCTGTACCTGAAGCCATTAACTGCGGTACTTCCGGTACAAGAACCATAAACCTATTGATATTTGCTGGACTACCTGGAGCCGATCAATAGCTACGCTGAGTCCCCAGTGTCTACACACCATCCCAGATACCTCCCCTGAGGCTTCACCTTCTTTAGGAGCCCAAACTAAGCTTGACCCCAGCACCATCTCTTAATGTCCATGTCTTGGCCCTGCTGTTCCCCACATGGCTGAGTCTCACGGGCTGAGGGGCTAGACAAAGTCTTTGGCCCCTTCCTCTCTCTTTCCACACTTGTTACAGAACCAAGGATACCCTCAGAGGCTCATCCATGTGTTCGAGACCATGTCACTGACTGGCAGGTCCTTACACATCTGAGAGTCAGGGGAAGAAGAGATTTATGAGAAAAGAAGAATTTTTCATGTTTGCCTTGTGTCCTTGGGCAAATCATGTCTCTGGGCCTCACTCTTCCCATCTGTGAAACAGGAGAACAACTGAACTACAGCTTCCCCTTTCCACAGGACAGAGTTTCCGCTCACAGCAGCTGTCCCAGCACCTCCTCAGTGCTGACCTCCAGCCAAGGCCTGGCCACTGGCGTAACCCAGCAGAGCTCCTCTGTGTGGGGGGACGATTCCGAGGGGCTTTCAGGAACTGCTGGGGACCTGGCCTCACTCTGGCCGAGACAGCTGGGCTGGCAGCACAGTCGCACAGAGCTGTGCACGCAAGCGCCCGAACACAGCTGTGGCTCAAGGCGGGACACACTTCTCTCGTGCCTTCTTCTCGAGCCATCGTCGTGGCCTCTAATCACCGCCTGGTGGTGAGAGGCACATACCAGGCCTGACCCACCTCAGCATCCACACCACTTATCTAAAGCCCCACGCGATCTTGAAACAAACGGGCTTTCACATGACTAAGCCAAATCTATTTCCGGTCTTCTGTGGAGACTCCAGGTGAGGGCTGGGGTTGGCTCACTACTTCTTTTTGCCTTAGGAGGTGCATCTGTGCTCCACACAGGAAGTGCACTCTAGAGTCTACTGACAGGAAGCCCCAGGGTTACTTGGCACATTTTACCTAGAATGTCTCCAGCTAACTTCCCCTTCCTTGCTCCCCCAGGAAGGAGTGGCTTCACCATCACCACACCCGAGGCTTCACTGCTGTAGTCTTTGTAGTGGCCTATGGCCCAGAAGGGGACAGGCCCGACAAGAACAAAGGCAGAGAGTGGCACACTTGCTGAGTGTGATGGTCCCCACTGAGATGGGCTGTACCTCTTCTGTGGTCCGGCCACATGGCACTGGGCTTTAATCTTGTGGGATCTGGGGCATGTTATTACAGGGTGGAGGTCTGCTGGGCCTGATGACAAACACCTAAAATCCCAGCATGGGGAGACTGAGGCAGAAGGTTCAGGAGTTCAAGATCAGCCTGGACGACCTATCAGTTATGAGGCTACCCTGGGCCACAACACACACACACACACACACACACACACACAGTGACTCAGTTTTGAGACAGCATCCGCTGGGGCCATTTTCTACCCTTCTAGCTCCCTCTCAGATAAACTGTTGACCCCTCCTCCTTCTATCCTGTTCCTAGACAACAAAAGATAGATAAGTTAGAGAGCTTCTTAAGTTCCGAAACTGTTCAGAACGAGAACTCTTAACTAAGTCCCGGGAGGCACAGGGCAGATCTGGAGCGGGGGTGGGGAAATGGGCTTCTCCTAAGGGCTGGGGCTCTGAAGAGTCTATGGAAAAACATTGGCCATTTCCAGACAGTCAAATGTCACCAGGCAGGGTCCCTTGGCATTGCTAAGCCTCCATCTCCTAGCCTATGGAAAGGGTGAAGAAACATCTAATCCTTGGGAACCCTGGGACCACAGTCTGCAATCATCACACCAGCCATCCAGCAGCCCCACTCACAGCCTCCTTCTGCCTGCCTGCCTGGGGTCCTCAAGAGGTCCCAGTGCCACTCAACACCCAAAAAAGGTAAGACTACTGTCCAGGGTGCCTGTGGTCAGAGCATGGCAGGACAGAGGACTCAGGAGTTGGCTAGAAACAGGGCCAGTCACTGAGTCCTTCACAGCCCTTCTCCTGGATGCTTCTTGTCTACAGAAGAGGTGGAGACTCAGATCCCAGAGAAGAAAACAAGAGGACAATGGAGGACAAGAATGGAGTGTCCCATGCTCTGGAATGTCTGTTATCACCACATCCACCCTGCATCTGGAACAGTGACCTGCCATCGCCTCCCTCAAGGAACTTCCTGATGATGATGTAAGGCAGGCAGCTATGCATCCTGTGAGCCCTGGACTCGGTGGCAGCAGAGGAGGGCAGGGTTGCCGCCTGTGTCCCCAACCAGGCAGCTCACGGACACCTGTTGGGAATGAGGATCCTGGGAGGTAACTCCCGCCAAATGGTGGTCCTAGCAGCAGGCAGCAAGCTCTGCCCAGGATTCCAACAGGGAGCATGCGGGCTGTATCCCCAGTAGGGAAGCTGTGGGTCTCCCCATCCCAGAAGGGCTTTCCCCTGACAGCCTGGCAGGCCTCCTACCCACCAGCTGAACATTCTCCTTACTCTGCTTTCCACTCCCATCACCCATTCTTCACTCCTATACTATGCAAGTTGTTTACTCTCAGGCCTCAGTTTCCCCCTGAAGGAAAGGGCTTAGCATCAGCTTTTAACGTTTTTCTCCCTAAACTCCAAAGCCTTTTTCAACAAATACATGCTTGGTGTGATGGCACATTGCTTTTGGAGACAGAAGCATAGGCAGGCAGATCTCTGTGAGTTAAGGCCAGTCTGATCAAAAAGCAAGTTCTAGGACAGCCAGGACTACACAGAGAAACCCTACCCCTACCAAAAAGGAGGAGGAGGAGGGAGAGGAAGAGAAGGAGAAGGAGAAGCAGCAGCAGCAGCAGCAGCAAAAAGTGTGTGGGCCTATTATGTGCTCAAGAAGTAGAGGCGGCATGATTGTATCATAGCATGAGGTTAAAAAAAGTGCCTCCTGTGTGCATGTGTGTCAGGGGTCCCAAGGACTAGTTATCCCTGAGCTGAGTACTGGAGCCTCCTCAGATCAGAGCAGCCTTCTGTTCCCTTCCCCTCCTGGGGCCAACCGGGTTTCCTCTTCCTCCCACAGCCCTGTAGCAGGAACGAGGGGAGGTCTGGGGAGCAGCCACATCAGCATCCCCCATGGCTCCAAGTGAATGGTCTGAACGGAACTGTTGGCAGATGTCACCCAGAGTCAAAGGAAGTGGGAGAGAGGAAGGACTGGGTGTGTGTGTGTGTGTGTGTGTGTGTGCGTGCAGGAAGGAGGAGGGTACACAAGGAGCCAAGGCCAGAGCTGCAGAGAGGCAGGATAGGAAACAGAGGGATGAGCGTTGGGGAGGCAGATGTAGAGGCCAGAGCAAGTAGCAACATGGGGGGGGGGGGGGGGGCAGGGGCAGATGCTGAGAAGAAGGAGCAGAGGCAGATGGGGAAGATGGAGACCAGGAGAAAGTGGTGGGTGATGGACACAGGCAGAGATACAGGGAGGGCCAGGGAGATGGCTCAGTGGGTAAAGCACTTGTTGTACAAGCATGAGGACCTGAGTTCAAATCCCCAAGACCCACATAAAAGCCAAGGTAGGAAGGAGTGTGACATCTGCAATCGTAATGCTGCAGGTTGGGGGTGAAGACAAATGTATCCTGGGGGTTGCTGGCCTTCCCTAGAGGAAGTGGCCACGTCTAGAAGAAGTGGTGGGTTCCCAGATACGAGAGACACTTTCTCAAAAGCTACGATGCAGAACACAGGAAGACACCCAGTAGCCCTCGGCGACCTCCTCGGACCTTGAGACACGAGCAGGAGCAGAGACACACATGGATGAGACAGGCCAGGGATAAAGATACATGGGTAAAGAGACAGCCAGAGCACAACAGAGATGGCAAGGCACACATGGAGGGGACAGGCCAGGGATGAAGACAGTCATTCTGAGAAAGGAAGGCTCTGAGTAGGCGGCCTGTGGCTTCCTCGGTCCGGTGGCCACAAGTCACCTAAGGGAGCTGAGGGGACTGGAGAAAAGAAGCTGTCAGTGAGAACTTCCAGGGCATGGAGCTCCCAGCGCCTGTAGTGGTCCTCCAGGCCCTTCCTAAGAAGGGTTATCATAACACCAGAACATCTAGAACCTTCTACTCTTGGTTATTTTCTTTTTAAATGAGTCAAGTCTTTTAAAATTTTGTTTTAAAAACAAATTTCCTTCCTCCTTCTCTCACTTCCTGATACTTGAAGACAGGGCACAATCTTGGCTGGTACTTGATGCTTGCCTATGATTTAACTCAAACTGCCTCCAATTTTAAAGCACACATCCTGACCACTAACCCCACCCCCACACCGCCTCTTGACACCCCACAGGCACAGCAGCTCATGCAACTGAGCTCCAGCAAACCCACCAGGCCACAGGTCTCATGCCTGCCAATTCTCACAGGTGTGGCTCTCTCCTTCTGGAAAACCTGCCCCTCTTCTGACCAGCCAGCTCCTCCTTCAGGACACCTCCTTGGCTACGCCATCTCTGTGCCACACTGCCAATGGACCTGGCTCCCTTGTGGCTTTGGGAGTGGCCTTGCTGCTTCCCCACAGCACCCCACCTCAACCCCACATCCTTTCAGGGCCATCACAGCCCCTAGCTCACTTTGCAGTCCACACATATCTGTGAAGTGTTACAGGAGAAGGGATAAAGGCCCCTACCAGCCTTAGATACGCAGAAAGCAACTCATAAAGTGGCTCTGCGTTCTGTGACAGCATTCCAGGCTGACCACCCAAGCCTCCTCAACCTGCTTCGACTTGGCTCCTCCCCAGGGACTCCTGCCAGCGGCCTGGTATAAAAATGGAGCCCACAGCACTAGCCATGATTGGGCTGACCTAAGGAGACTCAACATGAAAAGCTCAGTACAGAAGGTACACAGACGTGACCGAAATTGCTACTATTTAGAGAACAAGGGTTGGCCAACTTCCCATAGGATGCTGCAGGAGCTCCGCAGTCCCATGGCCATACTCCTGACTACAGCAGCCCCCTGATGTTTCAAGAGACACCTGACCAGGTACAGTTCCTTCATACGTTCATTTTCCCACACGTACATCCGTGATGGGGTCCAATTAATAAAATAGGCCCAAGAGGAGATTAACAATAATTACAATAAAGCGTATTATAATAAATGCTGTGATGAAAGCTTATGCTTTGGAGAAATTACTGAGTAAACTCAGGTTACTTCAGCCTTCTGGAATGCTGACAATCAGCGTCATAACAATAATTACTGAGTAATTAGTGAGCAGGTAGCATATACACTGTGGATACACAAGGGCGAGAAATGAGTCAAGTCCCGGTCAGCAGGGCACATTTTCACCACTGCTTAGAACGGCCTACGATTTAAACTTATGAACTGCTTGTTTCTAGAAACTGCCATTTAATATTTTCAGACCACTGCTGACACGGAGTAATTGAAACCTGGGGAAGGAAAGAAAAGGAAGCTACCACACTCAGTGTGACACAGTGACCAGAGATAAAGCCGGCGAGCGCATCTAGTCCCAGTGTGACTTTACCCCCTGAACAAGGGCCCTCGCTGCTGCTGGGTCTGAAGGCAGCCTCTCCTTAGGGAGGTGCACTGTGCCCTCACACCAGACATAGCTACTGAGTGCTCAGTGTCATCCAGGCCCAGCACAGAGGTGACTGGGCACAACTCTACGAAGTACCTCTCTCCAGGCCCCATGTATGGCAGCTGCCTCTGCCAACAACCAAAATCAAGCTTGTGTGGCCTCTGAAAACTGACACGTTGCCAGCCCTGGTGTTTGGAAAGTAAGAGGTACAGCTACCAAGGACAGGGCGGGGGGAAGGGGTGTTGTTCCGGCATCTAGCGGCTCACACTCACGCACCCCAGAATCAGACACGCATCTGCTGAGATAGCGCAGAGGGGCTCGGCTGGCCTCAGATGCTTCACGCTGGCTTAGGCCAGACCTGAACCCAGGTTCTCTGTGACTTGGGGAATGTGAAATGAAGAACATCAATGAAGATAAAGTAGACTTAAAAGGTATTAAGCAATGGGGAGGTCTGAAAACACAAGGAAGGCCCAGGTCACCCTCAAAGCCCTCAACCCTTTCTACACCAGGTCAGAGTCCTGAGACCAGTCCTGAGTTGACAATGGGGCCAGGTGGGGACTACTGATATCAGAAACCAGCCCGGGACACCTGAGGGAGCTTCAGGCTGCTCAGTTTAAAGCTGAAATTTTCTCTACAAATGTCTGAATGTCAGTCAGTTCAATTGAAACCAGAAAAGCAGCCAAGCCTGGTGGCACAGGCCTGTCATCCTAACTAGGAGGCTGAAGCAACAAGACTGAAAGTTCAAAGCCAGCCTGGGCTACAGAGAGAGAGTTCCAGGTCAGCCTAGGCAACTTAGGGGGACCTCCTCTCAAAATGAAGCATGAGAGGTAGACTGGCACTGCAGCGTGACAAGAAAGAGCCTGCCCAGAATGCACAGGACCCTAGGTTCAACTCCCGTAACTACAAAGCCAACTGGCCAATCTAGAAAAGCCACATCACGAAACGAAAACCGCAGGCAGTAAAGCCCTCCTTTAGCAGAAAGAGCAGGCCCAGAGGGGAAGCGCCTTGCCCAATATCACAACTATCTGGAGGTTGCTGGGACGTACAGATCTCCAGAACTTCACAAGGCAAGAGCCCTGTGTCTGTCCACCCTGCCATTTGGGAGGAAATGAGACAGACAGATAACAGACTAGTGCACATGAGTGGCTAATACTTGTAAACCACGGAGCCCAGGGGCTCATGTGCCGGGCCTTACAAGGGGAAATGAGACGAGAAGGAGGGTGAACTATGAGGACTAGCCTTGGCCTCAAATCTGTCTCCAACCTGGCAGCTGGATGACCCTATAGTGGCAACGACTGGTGCCCTCTGTGATCTGTGCCTCCCCTATGGGCAGAACTGAGTTAAGGGCTGCAGGCACCTGGGCCAGTGCCTGGCACTCAGCTGGCCCTGTGGGTGTCAGGCAGGTTTGTAATCACCACCTTTGACTAGGGGGAAGCTGAGGCCCGAAAGGAGCAGACTCTGGTTTCCAAGAGCCCATCCTGCTTGGCTTACGTCATTACCTCCTCCTATCCCCAGGACGTACAGCCACTTGTACTGTGCTCTGCAAACTCAGCGCAGGGGTAGCACGTGGCAAGAGCTCCAGGCTTCCAAGTGGAACAGTGGCCCTAAGGAGGCTGTGCCAGCTCTCTGACCTTGCCAGCCTTCTGCCACTGACCAGCCTAGGTCAAGGAGCCTGGCAAATGAGAGTATCCCCTTGGCAGCCAGACCACCAGCTGCCATCTTTCCCAGCAGTAATGTCCCCCCACCCCCGTCCTCCCCTACAATTTCTGAGGCTTGGCCCAGCCCCCCAGCTATTTCAAATGACTCATGCCCACAATTCCTCCTCAGCCTGCAGCTTGGGATGGAGAAGAGGGGTGACCAAGACCGCTGTGGTATGTCCGCAGCGGAGCCAGTTATGGCCCATGTAGCACAGTGCCTCACAGGCAGGAAGGCATGGGTGGTTCAGAGCAGGCACAGACTTCTCTGCTGGGGGGTGGGGGGTCTTCTGTGAGGTCACCTGGCAAATCAAAGCCACATAAGCAAATCAAACCTACACAAGCTCAGGAGAAGATACACTGTGAAACCACACAATCCACACTCTAGCTACAAACACACCCACAGTGCCCTGACGGCCTCCTGGAGCTCAAGGTATCAGTGTAGTGAGCTCCGAGGATGCCCACTCATTTCCCAGAGGGGACACAAGTCCCAGAGAGCTCCCTCTCCCAGAATGGTGGTGCTATACCAAGTGCCTGGGGCTCTGCTTTCCCAGGCATAGCCAAGTGAGACCAGCCTGTGGAGCTGGGAACCAAGACCTCCACGGTAATGCAGTTTTAAACCCTGCAACAGGTTTAAACTAGAAAGCCTGGCCTGACCTTTAGAAATCAAACTCCCTTTAAGAATGTAGCTCAGGGCTATGGAAATAGCTCACCAGGTAAGAGATCATGCTATGTAAGTCCAAAGACCAAGGCTGGAGACCCAGATTCCCTGGAAAAGGCTGGTTGCGGTGGTACATAGCTTTGATTCCAGCAGTTTAGGAAGCTGGTGGTATCTCTTAGTTCCAGGCCAGCTGTGACCTTGTTTAAAAAAAAAAAAAAATTTTTTTACCCTGTAATCTCAGAGTTGGAGTTGAGTCAGGAGTGTCCCAGGGACTCCCTGGGTTTAGTGAGAGGCACTGTCTCAAAAAGCAAGATGGGGAGTGATACAGAAAGACACCCCACATCTACCCCTGGCTTCCCTAAACCCACAAATGGAAAGTACATCCCACATGTGCACAGACACACACACCACCGACAATAATTATAAAAGGAATGTAGTTCGGTTGACAGAATGCTCTCCTAGCCTACCTGAAGCCCTCGGTTCCACCCTCAGCACTGAATGAAAAAAATGAGTCATGGTGTACACCTGTAATGCTTTCACTTAGGGGTGGAGGCGGGAGGACCAGAAGTTAAAGGTCTTCAGTTTCACAATGAAGTAAAGGTCAGCCTGAGTCACAGGAGACCCTGACTCGATACACACACTCACACATACATGAGTGTGTGTGTGTGCGCGCGCACACATACATGAGTGTGTGTGCGCGCGCACACACACACACACACACACACACACACACACACACACACACCTCCCTTTCTGTGGGAAGCGCCCTGACTGACCTCTTCTGCAGCCTCACCTCACCCAGCACAGAGAAGAAGGGAGTAGGCAGGTCCAGGTCCCAACAGCAAGCAGCAGGTACTGAGGCTGTCACTCACACACCTGAGCATCACTGCTCCTTACTCACTGGTTCCAGGAACTGTCCCAATGACACACGGGCTACCCCACAGTACATTAGCAAGACACTTGATTTAACATGAACTAGGAAATCATTTATAACAAATGCATCAAAGCCAGCAGGATCCTGACTGCATCAGAGGAGACTACACATGCTCAGGATTATGAGAACTCTCTAGCCAAGCAGGTGGCACACACCTCTAACTACAGCACTCCAGGGCTGAAACTGTAAAGTTGGGAGTTCAAGGTCAGCTTAGGCCACATGAAACCTGGTCACAAACAAGATCATAACCATCACAATGCCACAGGCAGTGAAGTGTGAAGTGGTAAGGCCTTTGGGAGTTTGGCAGCTCCTCAGTAGGTTAAGCTTTAAAGGGACCCTACAGCCTAAGGACCCCACTCCTAGGTTAAGTATTAGATAGAAGTGAAAACACACATGTGTCAAGAAAAACATGTGACATTCCCAGCATCAGTATTAATTACAGCCAAAAAAAAGCACCAACCCACTGTCCACCTACAAGTCAATGGACTTATATGGTATATCCACACTAAGAAATACTATTCACACATACAAAATATAGGTGCTGTTGAATGCTCTGGTGGAGAGACACTCACAAAGGCGTTAACCTATGATTTCATGATAAACCTACACAGAATTACACAGAACAGACAAGTTCACAGACAGACAGACAGGTGTAGATGATGGTGGCCAGGGCCTGGGGGAAAAGGTTTGCGAGTTGGGGGTTGTTGATTGCTGCTTTGGAGGATGTAAAAATGTTCTAAAAGTAGACAACAAGGACAGTGACTAATCAGAGCGTCCTAAAACACACCTGAAGCTCACTTCGGAAGGATGAGTTGTATGGTTAGCGGGTCAGACTTCCAGAAAGCTGTTACAGAATACTTACACACGGTTTTTTAAACAAGATATGGGAAATGGATAAGCCCAAGCCGGGGAGGGGACAGCGAGTCACAAATAACTTAACAGCTTCTTTACGGTAAACACAACAAACCCAGTTCTGCACCCCCGGAAACAGAGGCTGAAGAAAGGGCATGTCCCAATACTAAAGCGGAGCCTCCCACCCCATCTGCCCCATGCAGAAGCTGGGCCTAACCATCAGGCAACCCTGCTAGGATGAAAGAAACAAGGGTTGGGGAAAGGCTGAGGAACAGTGTGAACACAGGGAGAAGGGGGGCAAAGGGGCCGCTACCTCTGGGCTGGGGGTGAGAGTCAAAACAGAAAGCCCCTTCCCCAACACGAGTGCGCGCGGAACCCCGCGGGAGAGTTTCTGCTCCGACTGGCCGCGGAGTCCCAGCCACGTGACCGCCCGGGCCTCAGTTTCCCCACGTGTGAAGCAGGAAGCGGGCAAACTGGGGCAGAGTGAGAGGCATCTGCGTCCTAAGAACCACCGTGGGCCGCGACCTCCGCAAGTTAACTTCCCCGCGGCGACTCACGGGTGGGGCTCCAGGCCACGCGCATCCCCCCGCAGCGCCCAGGCCTGTCCGTGCCGCCCACAGTTCCGACCGCGCCATGCAGCCCTGACCGGGTACCGGCCGAGGCCGTCGCCACCTACCGTGCCCAAATCCGCGCCCGCGCAGACTCCGGCTCCCTGCCGGCCGCCAGGGAGGCGCCGCGAGGGGCGGGGCCGCGTGTCGTGACGCAAGGGGCGGAGACACCCATAATCACGCCCCCGTTGCCCACCGCTTGGCCACGCCCCTGCCGCGGCCCTCACGCTCGAGGATTTCAGGGTAGCCGCTAGGCCGGGGGCGGAACCTGGATAGGCCCTGCCCACACGCACGGCCTCGACCACGCCCCCTTCCTCTAGCTTCCCCTCCGGCCTCCAGGGTAGTTCGGCTAGCTAGGGGAGGGCCGTCCGCCGTGACGTAAGGGATGTGCCCGGAGAGAACACGCCCCTCTCCTCGCGTTGCCCCGCCTTCGCCCCGCCTCCTGCCCCCTAGGGCTGCTGCCTGCCTAGTGCAACCCGGCGGGCGTTCCTCACCAACACCACGTCCTGCCCGGCGCAGCCACCCAGGCCAGCAGGGGTAGACGCTGGAGAAATACAGGACAGCGCCCCAGAGAGCAACCAGCCCTAGGTGTGGAGAGGAAAGGAGAAGATGCAGGCTTGCCTCTCACTGCATCCCCTTTATTATGTGTTTACACCGTGTGTGAGTGCCTGGGGTGTGTGTGTGTGTGTGTGTGTGTGTGTGTGTGTGTGTGTGTGTGTGTGTGTGT